TTTTTTTGTGAGTTAGCATGTGGCTCAACGGTAACACCCCTCTCTCAAAGTGGAGAGGTTGTGGGTTCGAGACGTATTAGCAGTTGATTGTTGATATAAAAGTTTCGCCACGTAATTTATAAGGGGTAGGGGTCCCCTCAACCCCGCTTTATTTTTATTTTTCTGTAAAGGCAGCGGATTCGCAATTTTGATTAAAAACACATGTCACCTTAACAGAGATGATAGCAGTATGATATTTACACGCAAGGCGAGACGAGGAGACAGACAGACGATTCATTCTGAATTTCTGATGTTGGCATGCATATCATACTATTACTACTAATATTAACGATGGATTAAAATTTGTATTATTAGAAGGGTTATTTAGGTTTTGGTCCACACTAAATGGTTTTGACTCGTTAAAATTTTAAAAATACCACAGTCCACAGGCATGGCTTACACGTTTTAGTTCGTTTCTCATTTCTTTTGGATTTCTTCAGAGTAAGGCTGACGACTCTATGCTTACTTATCATCACGACTATGATCATAATTCTTCTCGTATATGTCAATGATAATGTTCTTACTGGAAATACACCACATTTAATCTCTTCATTCACGCAACGATTAGGTTGTGAATTCGAGCTTAAAGATCTTGGGGACTTGCATTATTTCTTAGGAGTTGAGGTTTCTCATCACTGGTTTACACCTATGTCAAACAAAGTACACATTGGATGTTCTTCGTCGTAGTAATATGATTTTCTGTAAGCCACGTTCCACACCTCTTGCTGCTCGTACTGTTCTCTCTTCATCACAGGGTACTCTATTTTCTGATCCTCAAGAATATGACATCTGGTTGGTGCTCTCCAATATCTAACTTTAAGTCGCCCTGACAATGCTTTCGTTGTTCATCATGTCTCTCAATTTATGAACCAACCACGCGACTCTCATCTTATTCTTCTTAAACGTATTTTTCGATATCTAAAAAGATCTTTTGGCAAGGGCTTGTACTTTCGTCAATCGAATTTTCCTATACGCCTTATTGCTTATTCTGATGCTGATTGGACTAGTTGTCCAGATAGCCGTCGTTCCACCCTTGTTAGCAAAATATGTGCTAACAGGTTGAGTCAGATGCTATTTAAGCTTATCTTGGTGCAGCAAGGTGCTTTTATAAATATTTAGTTACCTGAAGAGATTGTGCAATGACATGAAGAAAACTGTTAGAGACTTAGAGGTAGTGATGTTGTCTTTTAAGGCGAAATGTGAAGGTTTATGATAGAGTTGACTTAGAGATGTTCTTTGTTGAATTTAGGAAGTGGAAAAAGTATAGGTGTTTTTTTTTATGTGAACTGGTTGGCTACAGGCACTATAGAGATTTAGAACGGCTTAAACCTGATCAACTTATTTTGCCTTTAGACATTGTACCTGGAAAATCCGTGATTGGCCTAATTTATGAAAGTTTGAAGAATCAAGTTGAGTTGTGTGTTCCAGTTTTGGCTGTTCTCCAAAATCAGCATGGGAAATTACTAGCTAAAGAGCTTTTATTGGTCATTTCTTTCATGGAAAATTATATTTGGGAGTTGTTCAGCCGTTCAGGTGGACAAAGTTTTTTAACATTCAGATAACTGTAGCATTAAAAGTTAAAGCCTGATAAGGAAGGTCTAGACCATCTCTTCCTATCAAGTGAGAGGGATAATACTGTGAATTTCATTAATCTCTGCTATTGATTTGGAATTGGCAGGATAACAAAGACAGTTACAACGATAACTACAATGTCACAAACATGTGACCACTGCTTCTTCTGCTCCCATAGTCCTATGCACCAATACAAGAGTGTGGCTCTAATGCTAAAGAAAATATCCATGGCATATGCTCCTTTAGTCCCCGTAATTGCATCATTCCTGAAGCACCAATGCACCATACAACCCAAAACACTGCTGGTTGAAGTAGTAGTCATAGCAACTGCCCAGATCAGTTGTTGGCAACTTAGACCAAACTTCATGATTCAAACCTATCTATAACAGTTGTTGACATGTGCACTTGCTATGACTACTTGTGATTTCCCTTAGTTGAGACTCCCCAACTTTAGGCTTTAGAAAAACAATATTTATTTGAGTAATAACATCAACCTTATCACTAACCACAGCTGAAAATACTATATCTTTGAACATATAACTTTTTAATTTGTAAAACAAAAAAATTATTGCATATCAATAAATAGAAAGGGACCAAAATCTGTTAACACTTGTATTTATACACGCTTGGACAAAGAGGTAAATAAAGGAGAGCCAATCATATCAAAGCATTTCCACTGTAAGACCTTTGGTTCACTAAGCATAGTTGAAACTTGGTTCAGTGATGTTTGGTCTGAATCTTAAATTCAGCTATTTTAACGTCAAAAAATAATAAAATACGAACCAAAAATGAAACTCATATTGCGGGAATATTGATCCCACAATCAATAATTTCTAATGTTATCGTCATTGCATCAATCAAAGCCTTAAATAAAAGAAAAACTATGAAATGAAGAAAACTAAACTCCAAGAGTATACAATTTAAACTTAAGCTCGTTGAATCAAAGAGGTGGAAATAAAAATCAGATTAGAGCTTAAAAAGGTGTAATTTGCATTTTAAACCAACCTACTTGAGATCAAAACATATGTACGTGCTGATTTGATGCTCAGGGAATACGAACCAGAAAGATATTCATCTTGGGGGAATTAAATCCCTACAATCAATAATTTCTCAACTTCTCGTCATCACATCAATTGAATATAGGGCAATAAGAAACTACGTTTCTTTAGAAGAAAGTAAAAATTTATACTAGAAGATATAGTTTATGGATATAAAAATTCAGGCTTAATTCTGTATCAGATATTTATATCAGCCAATGTACTACATCAAGCTATTGTCCTAATCAGTTGTGCATACATGGGAGAAAAAAATCGGTAGCTAAAAACAACAAAGCAGAATCGGTCGTAAATACAACCATAAGGAATAAATGTAGCTGAGGGTTCAAGATACACCAAAAATTGTAATCTAATTGGGAATCCCACGAAACAGCTGATAATGATCTCAATCTGCGAAGGGTAATTATTCATGTTAGAGAGATCTCAAAATAGAGTTCCTATCTCTCTGCTGGGACCTTCACATTGCTTTCTTAAAACAAAAAATCGAGATAAATGAAAACAGACCTGACTTTAAAGGACTCAAAATGTTAAAATAGTTTCTGTGATCAATATTCACTAAATAAGATTGTTGAAGGCAAACTAAGCTAAAATTTAACAACTAATAGGTAATGCTGACAATTGATGCTCAGGGAATACGAACCAAAATAGGAAATTCATTTTGGAGGGATTAAAAAATCCCAACAATCATGATTTCTAATGTTATCGTCATCGCATCAATCAAATGCCTAAAATGAATTAAAGCTTCAACATAAGCTAAATTCCTAAAAATACAAAAATGGGTTGATTAAAATGCTCTAAATTTTGATAATTTCAAACCATTTAACTATAAATTTCATGTTCTTTAGATAAATTGAACACATTTGTTTACTAAAATATTGAAAGAATGAAAGCAAGCTTAAAAAGACAAAGTTTTTACACTAAATACAATACCATTCGCAGATTTCTTTACTCAGTTTCAAGATCTGAGTCGAATCCGCCGCTCTTTCTCATATTACTTTCGCTTCAAAGTGAAACTCTCTTTTCTTTGTAGAAGAAGATGATGAAGACAGCATTAGGGTATAGGGTTTATGAAATGGGCTTGGGCAAAAAGCTTAACAACTTTAGTTGGGTTGTAGAGGACCTCATTTTTACCCAAACTTCAAATGTTCATGTTGAGGCCCGCCTAGTGGGTCCGATTGCCATTTTCATTAATACATGGCTGGGCTTGTTAAATGGACTTCAGTTCTACCCGATTTAGTGTTTAGGCCTAAGCCCGACCATTCACATTACCTTCATTTTTCTTTGATTTTAGTTATTAAAACTGCAAAAATAACATATATTGGTTGATAACTGGGCAGAATTGATAACTGACAGTTATCAACCAATATATGTTATTTTGGCAATATACGTTATTTTTGCAAGGGCTATCTGGACAACCAACCCAATCAGCATCAACCCAATCAGCATCAGAATAAGCAATAAGGCGCATAGAAAAATTCGATCGACGAAAGTACAAGCCCTTGCCAAGAGATCTTTTTAGATATCGAAAAATACGTTTAAGAAGAATAATATGAGAGTCGCGTGGCTGGTTCATAAATTAAGAGACATGATGAACAACGAAAGCAATGTCAGGGCGACTTAAAGTTAGATATTGGAGAGCACCAACCAGATGTCATATTCTTGAGGATCAGAAAGTAGAGTACCCTGTGATGAAGAGAGAACAGTACGAGCAGCAAGAGGTGTGGAACATGGCTTACAGAAAATCATATTACTACTACGAAGAACATCCAATGTGTACTTTGTTTGACATAGGTGTAATTGTGTAAACCAGTGGAATGATGAGAAACCTCAACTCCTAAGAAATAATGCAAGTCCCCAAGAGGAATTCACAACCTAATCGTTGCGTGAATGAAGAGATTAAATGTGGTGTATTTCCAGTAAGAACAATATCATTGACATATACGAGAAGAATCATGATCATAGTCGGGTTGATAGGTAAGCATAGAGTCGCCAGCCTTACTTTGAAGAAATCCAAAAGAAACACTACACCAAAACTGGGTTTTAGTAACGTAGGCTTCTTTGATTTCTAACGACAATATACTGTTAGGACAGTAGTAACGGCAATATATTGTTAGTAGTTCCTTTAAATTGTTAGTATTAATTAAATAATTTTTTTAATTTATTTAGTAACGGTTAATAGTGTTATTAATTTGTTAGCGGAGGATACGTGAATACGTGATAGCGAATAGTGAGTGATAGCGAAATGGTATAGATGTAAAATTATCAACCGTTCATGTAACTATGTAAGATATATATTGTTTTTAAGTGTATCTTAACGAGCTACTCGATTTGGCTCGATAAGAGCTTGAGTTCGAGCCGAGCCTAAGAACCTCTTCGAATTCGAACTCAGTTCGTTAAACTTATCGAACGAGCTCAAGTTGAGCTTAACGAACTCATACACACCTCTCCTCATCTTCTGGTCTGTCTACCACTCTGCCCTTCTTCTAAAATCGGTCTTCACCGTCTCGCGGTTGTATATTTTTCTATATGATTTATACTCAATGCAGTAAAAATAAAACGCAATCCATTCTTATCAACCGTTTAACTTGCCTCGAGTCACGGATCAAAACCGGGCACCAACGTAACATCAACCAATATATCAAAATCCCAAATCTACCCCTTCATTCAGTTCCTTCACTCCTTTCTCTGTGTAACTCGAAAGCAGCGAAAA